AGCAGGAAAAAACAGAGAGCCGAAAACGAGAATGCTAAAACGAACAGAAACACGCATAAAAATTTCAATTCTACACCCCCAAACCTAAACTAAACTAAACATTGCCAACGGGTCTAGCTCACTGCCAACTCCACCAATTCCAGCTCAAGACACTGCCAACTCCATCAATTCCAGCTCAAGATTGAGTTTACGATGGAAAATGGCCTTGACTTGTAGACTAAAGGTATCAAGTTCGAATTCCCATGGAAAATGACCTTGACTTGTAGACTAAAGGTATCAAGTTCGAATTCCCACAACATCATAGTTGTGTGTGCTCACTGGCATTGGTCACCCTTGAATTAAAAGAAAAAGGGAAAGGAAAAGAATACATACTGATTATTGGTGTATCACAATTGAGGGGGACCATAGCTGGCAAGAAAAGATCATTTTCTTCGCCGTCCTTACCGAGCACCTCCGACTGGGAATCCAATTTCAGGCACACCAAAGATGAGACGTTGTCCATGGCTGTGAGAGAAAAAACGACGGGCGATTTGGGTTTGGGTTCGAGTTCAGGGTGAATTGTGTGTGTGTATAAGTTGTACACATGTCCGAATTTTATTGGACCGTAGTACCAATTAGCAATGCCAGCTGGTATAATTACGTCATTTGTTATTTATTTTTCTAGTTTGGTAAAGAAAGCTATCCCAACAGGAAAAAAGAAAATTACTACGTCATTTGTTATCGAACGGGCGGCTGAACATACGATCCCGCCCAAACCCCAAACACGCCTATATATTCCCCCCACCCCGAAAACTGAATTCATTTCTTCGCTGCAATTTCATCAAACATTTTGCAAGCGTTATTTCAGAGAACTGGAAACCAAAATCTAAATCAGAAGGCAATGTCTCTTCGCCCGAGCACAACCACCGTTGTGCGCAAGAAATCGTACAAGACTGGAGTGGAGATCAGGAAGAACAAGCGCGAGGACAATTTGCTCAAGAAGAGAAGGGAAGGCTTGGCTCCGTCCCAGCAGCAACTGCTTGATGGCACCCAAACCACCGTCGTTTTCCAGAAGACGGTACTACTTCTTTATTTTATTTTAAAACCTTCTTGGTAATACTTTGTGTTCGTTTGATTTTTTGGTTTGAATTGTTGTGGGATTAGTTTGTATGGATGTGCTTGGTTGCTGAGAAAGTGAAGGAAAGGGAACGGAATTAAAAATGATAATTACCGTTTTATAAGAAATTGATTATAAGGGATGTTGAATCGATAGTTTGCTTTATGTTGAATCGATAGTTTCCAATTTCAATATGATATGTAAGTTAGTAATAAGTTTCAGAATTACGTTCTAAGTTTTACTGGTTCTACAACTCATAGTTTCTCTTCCTTTTGACTGCCAGAAATTTCCATTTGTTTGATTGTACTGGATTACAATCCTTGCTTTCTTGATTCTTGAACAGGTAGTATGGGCTCTAGGAAATGTTGCTGGTGATTCTCCTAGTTGCAGGGATCTTGTTCTTGGACAAGGTGCACTAATGCCACTGCTAGCTCAATTAAATGAACATTCCAAGTTATCCATGGTGGGGAATGCTACGTGGACTTTATCAAACTTTTGTCGTGGCAAGCCAGCAACACCATTTGATCAGGTTAGTGGGGATTTCGAGAGTTTTGTCTGGTTAAAACCTTAATAATATATGTTAAATGTCAGTTGGTATCCCTTCCTAATTTAATTTTGGTCGACGCCTTACTTCACTGTAATAAATACCCTTTCTGCTTGCTTATCTGCATGTTTTTTGTTTCAGGTGAAGCCTGACTTACCAATTCTTCGACAACTTATTTACTTAAATGATGAAGAAGTCTTGACAGACGCTTGCTGGGCCCTATCGTATCTCTCAGATGGTCCAAATGACAAAATTCAGGCTGTGATTGAAGCAGGCGTCTGCCAGCGACTTGTGGACCTTCTGATGTAAGTTTTTATACTCTGTACAAACTATTCACATGTGGCAGTGGCCTTCCTTATTATTATTATTTTTTTTCACCTAAAAGAAAAGGAAACTTGAAATCAATATATTGGCTGCCATTCTAATGTTGAAAAACACTGATAGTGATGACCTTACTCAAGTGTGTTCTTTACTTCAGTTTCTTCTAGCCGATTGACTATGTGATAGTGTTCATACTATATCTTCCGATATTTTACATGCATGATTAATGTTCTTGCAGACACCTGGCTTCCAGAGGTTGTATTAAACCGCTCTGTGATCTTCTAATCTGCCCAGATCCAAGGATTATAACTGTATGCCTTGAAGGTCCTGAGAACATTCTGAAGGTGGGTGAGGCAGACAAAGAAATGGGAATGAATGACGGGATCAATCTTTATGCACAACTGGTCGATGAATGTGAAGGTTTGGATAAGATTGATAATCTGCAGACACATGATAACAGTGAGATTTATGAGAAGGCTGTGAAGATCTTGGAGAGAGATTGGGCTGAGGAAGAAGTAAGTTGTGTAGTTTGCTTATTTTTTGTTCAAGTCCTGTCCATGTATGAGATCTGTTTAAAAGTTGACTCTTTATGTTTCCTCTCCTTTAGTTTATTCATCTATTGTATGTTTCTTATTCCCATATTAGTTCATTAATTTGTTTTATGTTTATGTTGCTTCATCTGTATTCTCCTTTGGTTGTTCTATTTTCTTAATTTTTTTTAAAGTAATAAAGTTCATGCCTCATTCTTTTTTTCTTATCTTTTTTAAGTAATAAATTTCAAATTGTTACTAGGAGGAGGGATGGGGCACAACAAACATCGCTTTTATCTCTAATGGTTGTGGAACAATATATGTTGGTGTCGATTCGAGGACCACATGCAAAGGATTTATAAAAAATGATGATTCAAACAAATATATGCATATGGAGCATTGCAATGTATTTGCCACTAGAGCGGGAAATACCATCAGTTGCAAAAAAATGTTAGAACATGTGGAGGAACATTATCGTCATAAGGGGAAAATAATTAATGGCATCTGTGATGCATCGGTAAAAGCCTATAATTTCATTAAAAGATGGGAAAGAAAAAATAATTTGAAGGAATTCGAGGCGTCTACTCTCATGTCTGGATGGAAGGTTGGATGGAACGGTGTAGGTAAAGATCCTTTCGTATGTAGAGCTAGGCATTCTGGAGTGAGGGTGAAAACCAAATCCAATCAATGCACAGGATTTGTGAATGGAAGTGGTGCTTCCAATCAATGTACGCGTATTTGAGGTATTAAAACAAGGAGGTTATGAAATGGTATATAACCGACCAGTTTTGAGAGCGCTTCTCGATCATTATGATGCCTTGGCTAGTTATCTTTCCAAATCATTGTTCTTTCTCTTTGACAAGCTTGATTACAATTATACACATGACATTAATGTGAAAGTGCATGAAGGATTCCAAAGACAGTTTGATGAAGAATATAAAAAGAATGTTGTCATAACTCAAGGACAAACATACACTGTGCGACTTGTACATTTCAAGAACCCAATTGATGAGCTATATGAGAGGTTGGAAAGAAAAAATAGCCAGCGTGTTGTGCTCCCTGAAGTTAGATATCTATCGTCAGTTCGAATTGAAGAAATTGGTGAGGCTCCTATTTTGTGTGGTAAGATAACACAGGAGTTGGTGAGAAATTTACAAGAAATATAGCACTCCTTTAAATAGCTTCTAGTAGGATGTTCATGTAATATCATACTTTTGAGAAAATGTCAATGATTCAGATTGTATCTAAAATAAAAACATGATTGTTTTCGTATATCCATATATCCATATATCCTTGTAAGCCCGACTTCTATCAAAGTATGCAGATATAAAAATATGAAATAAAATTGCCCAGAAACAGGAAAATCAATATTTGAAATTAAAACCATCTATGGAGGGGGGCGATTGCAAAATGGTAAATGAAAATAAGTGGGGTCCGTTGATCCACGGCGGAGATTGGGGTTGGGATCAGAGATGGGCAGCACTAGTTGGGGAATTCTTGTTAATAAGACAAAATATGCAATTATTTGAAAAATAGTTTGGAGGGAAAAATAAAAAACGACAACAAGATTGAATTCAATTACGTTCAAAAAGTTTTGAAAAGTTCTATAGAAAATAGTGGCTTTCTTCTATTGGCTCGTGCAAATAGCAAGTCTGGAAAATGGATACCTCAATTGTTGAACTTTTTCTTTTAGGCTTAAAGTGCCCCTGAAATATTGATTAATTCTCACTTTACCCCCTTAAAGTTAAAGTGACCCACTTTATCCAATTGACTGTTATTTTGTGTCTCACTATGCCCTTATCGTCAAGTCTGTTAAAAATTCTGTTAAAAAAGCTTATGTGGCACCAATGGGACCCACTATTTGGCTAAACTAAGTGCCATGTGTGAAAAAAAAAATTAAAAATTAAAACAAAGATTCAACTTTTAGCAAGACAAAATAAAGATTAGACAAAACAAAGATTCAACTAAGTGCCACATCTCTGCCTCAATCCAACATCTTCCACTTTTAGCAAGACAAAACAAAGATTCAATTCATCTTTGTATGCATGTCAAGGCTCTAATATGTTACACCAATTTTAGAAACATGGGCTGTATAGAACTCAGACCACCCCCACTTCCAGCCGCAACCCAAGCCCCACTCCCACCCCTAGCCCTTAAACCCAGCAGCCCTAACCCTCCGCACAGTCGTCGACAACCCAGATGAGCCCTGGCCTCTCTTTCTCTCAAACCTCCAGCAGCTACAACCCACCATCTCCATCTCACTGAATTCGGAAGCCATCAAATTTGGTTGCAGACCTTCAAGCACAAAACAACAAAAACAATGAATTTTTTTTTTTTTTTTTAAATTTGTTGGTTTTTGAATTTGCAGAGAGAGGGGTGGGTTAGGTTTGGTTGAGGGTGGGAGTGGGGCCTGGGTTGCCACTGATGCTGGGGGTAGTCTAGGTTGTTGGGGAGAAGAAAATACAGAGGGGAGAGGGAGATCACAGAGAAAGGAAAGGGAGAGAGAGAAGGGGAGAATGAGGGAGAAGAAATCTAGGAAGGGTGGCTTGGGGATGGGTGAGGTCAAAGCCTTAAATCCATAATTTTTTTTAATTTTTAATTTTTTTTCTTCACACTTGGCACTTAGTTTAGTCAAATAGTGGGTCCTATTGGTGCCACGTCATCTTTTTTTAACAGACTTGACAGTGAGGGGCAAAGTGAGACGTAAAACATCGGTCAAAGAGGCAAAGTGGGTCATTTTAACTTTAAGGTGGTAAAGTGAGAATTGACCAATGTTTTAGGGTGCACTGTAGCAATTAAGTCATTCTTTTATGATAGAAACGATATTGAGGAGAGAGGAATCGAACCTAAAACTTCAAGTGTGGAGGTAAAGCATTTAGAGCATTCACAATGAGCTCCATAAACCACATCCTTAGCGAAGATTTTGGAAGGAATTGAAAAAACTCACCTCCAACTAGGGGTGGGCTCGATTTGGGTTGGTTTGGTTTTGGGCTCAACTCGAACACCAAATCGTAGGCCTCAGTGTGGCTATTTTGGAAACCGTGATGAAAACTGACCACTTCGGTTAACCGAACTTGGTGGGTTGGTTTGGTTCGGTGGGTTTTTTGGCTTTCTTAGAGAGAGAGAGAGAGAGAGAGAGAGAGAGAAGAAGAAGAAGAAGAAATAAAAGCGATGGAGAGAGGGAGAGATGGAGAGGAGAAGAAGAAAAAAAAAAGGAGAGATGGAGAAGAAGAAGAGAAAAAGAAGAGAGAGAGAGAAGAAGAAGGAAAAAAAAAGAGGGAGACGGGGAGAGGGAGTGAAGACAGACGTAAGAAGAATGAGAAAAAAAATAGAGAGAGAGGGACTGATGGAGACAAGACAAACGGTGAGATGAAGAGAGAAGAAAAAGAAAAGATTGAAACTATGTAATATATATATATATTTCTTTCTTTCTTATAATAATATTATATATAATATTTTTTTAATAAAATCGATTTGGTTTGGTTAAATCGTGGTTTTGAATATTGCAAACTGTACACCGAACCATATATTTTAGTTTGGTTTGGGTTCAAACTGATGACCAAAAAAAAGATTGAAAAAAAACCAAACCAACCTAAACCGTCAGTTTGGTTTGGGCAGTTTGACCGGGTTACCGATTTGAATGCCCATCCTTACCTCCAACCATGCTTCCTATCCAACTCCTAAAATAGAGAGACCTATAGGAGCTCCTAAATATGAGGAGAAAGAAATGACTCATAGTAACTCCCTATTATTAAATGCTTCTATATTTAATATTATTTTAAGTATTTATTTAATACCAACTATTTTTTATTGTTGCTTTTGTGTTTCCACTTTTTTCAAAAAATGAATTAAAAATATTAAAAATATTTATGACTCTTTAAATTAGGGAGTATGGTTGGAGTTTAATTTTATAGAGAGCTCATTGTTGAGGCCCAAAAAATCCATGGCTTGACCCAAATGAATTCTCGGCCCAGCGCAATATCTTATTGAGAAAAAACCTAACTTGGAGCACACAAAAGTCCGCCATGCACGAGTCACACTCCACGCGCCATGCCAAATAAATAATCCGTCATGCTAGGAATCGAGATTAAGATTATAAAATGCATTATCTTTGCAAATCCATTCTAATTATCTTGTCAAGCATAATAATTAAAAGCATGCCAAGCGATATGCCATGCCAAGCAACATGTCATGCCAAGCAGGAAATCATTATTATATACTCAACCACGTTATAAGCCTAAATGGGCCCAAGCCACTCGAATGCCTGGGGCTTGCTTGAGTGGGTTATGTTATGGATGGTAATAAATTGTCATGAAGCCCATTGATGGACTGAGAAGTGGAGGTTCCGGGTTGCTTGGGAGCCTCGGAACCCAAGCCCATTTCTTAAGCCCAAACATATGGGTGAGCACAAAATAGGAAAATAGTCCAACCAAAATAGCCCAACCAAAATGATCCACTAAAATTAACCCATATAGCCCAATGTTAGATGAAGATAGCCCATTTGTTTGGAAGGTTGATTTGTTACTTTAAAGGCCCACACAATTGGAGGTAAGAAGCAGCAAAAGCATAAGCCCTTTTGCTAAAAGAAACATAAGCCACGTAGGGAGCAAAGTGTCCACCTATGCAGAGCTACTGGAAGGCTCCAGCACATGAGAATGAACAATTTCCAAGCACAAAACACCCGAAAAACCAAAATATATTAACGTGCAAGCTGCCAAGAAGAGAAGCACTCTTCGAATCAGCATACATACCCCAATTCCTTCCCCCATCAGACCTTGGCCATAGAAAAGATGAGGAAAGAAAGGAAGAAGATGGCTGGGAATGGAAATCCCCCACTGAAACAGACGCTGGAAAGGATCCTTGAGCTCCAAAATATCTATGATTTTGTGCAAATAGGCAAAGGAAATGTTACCAAGATAAGGAAAGTCAAGGAAGGAGATGAGAAAGTAAGTGAAAAGCTTGAACAAAATGGGTAGAAGCCATTAGGGTTTCTTGGGAAGTGATGGTTTCCAGCGCCTATAAAATGAGGCGTCTTCTACCCAACAAAAACAACCCACACCTGGAGAGCAAGCTTCCTCTCTTACCTACAAAAGCCCAGCAACATTGTGCACTATTCACCCTCTTTCCCAATTTTCTTCTTTTGGCAAGCTGCCGGAAGAACATAGTTCTTTCTTTTCCTCTTCTTAGCCACATTTGCTTGCAAACCTCTTCTTCCTTACCTTAAACACTCCTCTTTCTCCCTAGGAAGCCATGTTTCCTTTTTGGTGCTCAACTCATGCTAATTTTGCTTCCATGCCACTTACCTCTCATGCCAAGCTCAAAAGTTTATCTATAAGCATGCATAAATTACCTGTAAGTTGCTATCGTTTTGGCTGGTGAAGGTAATCAAAATACTTCCTAAGGCTCTGCTACCATTTCGAAGCATTTTTTAGGCTTAATTTTCGAATTCAGACAAATGGGACAATTTCATCAGTCTGCTCTTTACAGCTGCTTAACCTATTTACAGCTGCCGGAAGAAAAAGTCCCCTACACTCATAAAATAGTTTTCTAGTATTTTTAGCTAAATTTTAACTTAAAAATAAAGATCAAGATTGTGAATGCTCTTAACCACCTATAAATTCTTTACAATTATTGAACTATTAATTCTTATTAATTAACTAGAAAATGGATATAATTAAAGAGAAAGAAAAACTTAATTTCTTACTCAATTAGGGGAAAAAAATTACTGAAAATGGAGTGCAAGTTGAAAAATTAACTATAAAGAAAAAGAACTAATATAAAAGCGAAGTAAAAAGAAATTAATGTAGGGTATGGGTAGAATAGGAAAGAGAATGAACAAAATTGATTAAAAAGTATTAAAAAGCAAAAGGGAGTGGGGAAATCATATCCGTATTGTAAAGTATAAAGAGAAATAACATGCAACTATGGATATGTACTTGTAAATAAGCGAGGGCGGAACTAGAAATTTTTCAACGGGTGGACTAGCTAAAGTTATTAGCTTAAAATTTAATGATGATTTTTTTTGGTACTTACAATTTCTATAGTCCTTTTAGAAATAAAAGTAAATTAAATCATATAAACCAAGCTAGTTCATAGCTCCATAGACTAATTTTCAATAAATTTTAACATAAACCAAATAGGGTTTAACACCATAGTGGATTGAACATCTAAGGCTTTTTATCTAGATTGACCTTAGGTTCCTTCATGCATTCATATTATACATGAAAAGTTGTTTTATGTAAAAATATTGACTAAGTATGAAAAATGGGTTTTTGGAATAGTCATTTTCTCTAGATAATTTTTAGCGGCTTTTATTCCTCACACATCGAATAAGAAAACTTGATTTTATGAGATTTTAGTATGAAGTATATATTAACTTAATGAGCCATCATTTTTAGCCTAAATCGTATTTTGCACTAAAACTGATTTTTCGTATTTTGATTTTATGGGAATTTGATTTTCTAGTATTTTTATTTGAATCCAAATGGGAGGTACTATAAAAATGGAGTAATATAAAAATAAATAAAAGTACAATGACAAAGACATTTAATATTGAAAATAAGTCAAATATATAGGGTCTATATTTTTTTTCTTAAGAAACCACACTGGGCTATAGCCCACTGTAGCCCTTATTGTGGTTCTGCCCTTGTAAATAAGTTGTAAGAGAACTTCTAGCAGGTCAATTTTGTCAAGGCAAAAGGGAGCTCAGGTTGGGTTTAAGCTCCTCATAAATGAAAGGCAGCCCAGGCAAAAATGGGCCCCATTTACTCAGGCAAGCCCAAATGCAAGAATTGCCTAAGCTGCTCCCTGGGTTTACTGATCTCATACTGACATTAGTGTGACATCAGCAACCAATTTAAATACAATATATAGACACACACACACACACACACACACACACACACACACACACACACACAGCTTCTATTGAGGAATCCCTCAAATTAGCTTATTTGAGGGACACCATTGTAGGGCCCACTCCGTATTGTATTTAACTAATCTAAACCTCTATTTTGTACATACTCATTCAATCATCTATACAAAAACACCACTTGAATCCGATATCATTTTACCAATCAATTGAATTGAAATTTTAGTACTTTCTTGAAGCACCATGTTCATTGATTTTGTAGGACACAATTGGATATCGAAACGGTTTCCGATTTGTCTAATTTTTTGCAAGGATGATCTATGAATATAGACTTAAAAAATAGATGAATTGGATCGTTGAAAAAAAAATCGTAGGGGACTCTAAGGGGTGCCCCTCAAATAAAATTATTTGAGAGATCACTCAATAGAATTGGACTATATAATACCAAAAAGTTTAGACTTTTTTTTCAATAATACATAGCCAAGTTATTCACTTCCCACACCGAAACTCCATACAAATTTCTCTCATCAAATCTCATGTGAATAATGGTTGCCTTTACTTGCCATGACAATGGATGGAAAAGCAAAATAAAAAAAGGTAAGGCAGACACTATGGGTGGAAGCAGTAACAAATACAACTATTGGGCTGTATGGGCTATAGCCCATGCCTTTTTTTTAGTTGTCAATACCCATGTAGTCTCTCTCTCTAGCCCATGCCCTTCCCCTTGTTTTTTTTCTCATCGTTTCTCCATCTTTTTTTATGGTTTGGATCTACTACGAATTGAGCTTTGGTTTTTTTTTCCTTTTTTTTTTTGGGACAAAATTGTAGCAATGGTCCCTGGACTAAGACCAAACTTTACTTTTCGTCCCTCATATTGTTAAATTGTTACGGTGGTGTTTCAATTAGGTCTCATGCTGCATCATTGGTTTTTCCGTCAACTTAGTTAAATTTTCTGTCAAATTAAGGGCAAATTGGGAAATTCATAAAAATCTATCTATCTATCTATCTATCCATCTATCTATCTCTCTCTCTCTCTCTCTCTCTCTCTCTCTCTCTCTCTCAGCAATGGCCACTTGCCGCCTTAGCCTTCGATAAGAAAACAGCACCACCAAGAGAAAGGGCAGATCTACTCAACTTCCTCCCAACATACAACTTGAAACTTTTCTTAAACTTTTGCATTCTACCTTCGTTATTTAAACTTTTGCACATAACAATGGTCATTCATGCCCAGTTGTTTAGCTAAGTCTTTAAATTAAAATTCAGTATGTTAACCCCATAAGAGAAGAACAAAATGTTGAGATAAAAACCACCTTTCACTTTAGACATTTTATAAATAGATGGATTCTCACATCTTCAAGCATAACAATATAATAGACCATGTGCTGCAAATTGCAATTCATTTGTGATAAAAACAATACACGATGTAGACATCAAAATGATAAGATGCATAGCATTTATGGAAAATAGCACTCCTTGCTCTTTTGCTTTAACTCTAGAGTACAATTAACTCTTCATTCTCTCCTATTTCAAAGGGCAAATCTCGACAGAAAAAGAACCAGTATAAGGGTCGTAAGTAAAGCCAGAATTCTTACGTTTCTCCTCGCGTTCCGGGCACTCAAAATTTGAGTGTTCTTCTTTCTTCCCACAGATTGTACAATCCTTGAGAAGTGCATGTCCTATGCTCACGCCACAATCAGCACAACATGAGTCTCTTGTAACACCCCGACTCTATTTAATTTCCTGTAATAACCCAAACCTAAAATTAATATTTAATTATTAATTTATTTGAGAAAAAGACAAAAATACCCCTAGAATATTTTATTAGTTTAAAAGTTGACTTTTTGATCGGGAAGGAATTTGGGGATTTTAGTTGTACTGTTGCGTAGAGCGCGACGGAACGAGTTCGTAGACATGTAGTGGACTCAAATCGGAATTGTAACGAAGGAGTTACGATCAAAAGAAGTTCAGTGGCATAACCGTAAATATTTCGAAGTTCAGATTTTATAAACCCAGATTTTCTGGTTT